TATGGTATTGAGGCCAAACCACTGCAGAAGAACAGGAATCGGCCATTGTCTTGCGACGAGAGCAACTCATTCATGTTCATACAAATTGAGAATCTCCACAACGATGTTATCTGAAAAGATCCATCAAAACTCAGCTCATCTTCATGTCTACGGCTTAATCTTCTTTTAACTAATCTCACGTTCTAGCCCATCACCACGTCTCTTCGCCTCCACAGCAGCCTGTCGCCTGTGGAAGGTCACGAGGCTCTTTACTCTCTGAGACCCAAACGGCGCTACAACAACGCCGTAAGCTCCACTGCGCCAGACGGAAGCTTGGTCAGATCCAGGTCAGTTGGATCACACTCATGCAGCCTCAGCTGCAACAATTATGTTGTAAAAAGTCTGCGTCTACAACTACAGGACCCTACCAGCTGTTCATCAGCAAAAGGTCTTTGCTCAAGGATTGACTTCAGTGCAGCCGAAAGAGACAAAAGTGGGCCTCCTGAGCTGGCCGACGAACGCCATTTGTTGACCATTCGGCCGCGAAATGGAGGGGACCAGAGAGGAGTCTGGACAATCATCTCATCGAACTGGCCCTATGCGACCAATTGAACCACAAAGGCCAGAATCAGAATCCTCTATTCGTTGACTGTCTGTGACATTCGTGGGAAGAGGGAAAGAGCGATTTAAGCCTCAGCGACGATGTTTCCAGAGAAAACTCAAAAATGACCAGCACCAAGAGAACGTGAGATGCATCAGCATCACCAGAAGAAGACGACTCAGCAGTTCGTTGTTTTTGTTACAGAGTTCAAATTGACGCCGTCCACGAGACAACAGCCCTTATTTCGGATGCTGTCTCGTAGACTGCGTAAAACTGAAAGGTTGTAATAGAGCAAACAGACTGCAAGACAACGGGACACAACCTTCACCTTCTGGTGAGTGGTGATTAACCAACGAATCTCTACATCAGACACAACTTCACATGAACTATGAAGAAAAAATGAGTTTCAAAGAATTGCTTTGTGAATTATTTTGGTAACTTTGCATTTCAAAGGAAAGTTGGCTGGAAGGAATTCGTGCAATTTTCTTATTGGAAATCGAAGGAGGATTGTCGCGGAGTAAAGAACTAGTGCAGAAAGTATACCAAACCAAGAAACAAAGTTTTTGTATTGTTTTGGTATATTTTTTACGATATTTCCTAAACTATGTATTCCTGCCCTGATGATGTTTGTCACGGCTGTTCAGACGAAAGCTTAGCACAGGCTCATCGGAATCGTAAGACGGTGATCCGAGGACTTCTTCAAAAAATCCAACAGCCTTTACTCCGCGGCAATTGTCATTCAGTTTCCGATGAGACAATTTCACGAATTCCTTCCAACCAACTTCGCTGCAAAATGTAAATTCATGTAACTTCACAAGAATGCTATGTCAAGAGATGCATCCAACCCAGTTACTATTTGCATATACAGCCCTAAAATTGTACACAATTGTAGATGCCGGTGCCGAGTGTTGTTGTACTCGTCGTCTGGAACAAAAAGCCCGCGCTGGGCTTAACTGGTCGAGGACGTCGACCAGAAACAACAAGAAAAGCCCCTGCATGTGGCCGAGGAGCGCCATCATTAAGGTCGCTACAGCCGAATCCAAGTTTAGCCAAAAGTCTAATACCACATCCTGCTCTGTCCGCCTGTGGTTGTGTACAATGATGCTCGTGAGACAGTCGATGATCCTGCTTTTGTTTAGGCTCTTATCTCCGTCAGCTTGTCCATTTGTATCTATACACATACACATGTCCACATTTCCACATTTCCACATCTAAACATGCATGCGTCGATTTTGACCAACTGACCGGCTCAGTGGATTATCTGTTACCAGCGCTTTCTTTGT